TCCTCAGAGTTCTGAGGAAGGGTCACCGGACCCGAAACGTTAACTCTGTTTTCTCCTTCACAGATGCTGCCAGACCTGCTGAGCTTTTCCAGCAACTTTGTTTTTGTTCCAGCTGAATAATAGTCTGTCTACAAGAATGGGTTAGAGGGGAGAAATTCTGTGGTGAGGAATGCACCTCCAGGTTTCTCAAAGCCTGTCCCCAGTCTACAAATCAGGAGTATGATGGAATGGTCTCAACCTGCCAAGGTGTTTGAAGCTCCAAAAACACTCAAGAAGCTTGACACCATTCAGGACAAAGCAGCCCGCTTGATTGATGCCCCATTTTACACCTTCAAAATTCACCTTCTTTTACCACTGTTGTACATTGGCAGCTGCATGTACTATATAGAAGATGCACTGCTGCACCTCACTAGGACTCCTTACTCCACACTCACAACCTTCACCACCTAGATGGACAAGGGTAGTATGGAAACACCAGCACCTGCAAGCTCCCTTCCATACCACACATTATCATTACTTGCAAAATAAAACGTTCCTTCACTGTTACTGGCTCAAAATCCTAGCACTCCCTTCCTAACAGCACTTTGGGTATATTTACACCACAAGGACTGCAGTGGTTCAAGAAGGCAGCTCACCACCACCTTCTCCAGGGCAAACAGCAATGCACAACAGATGCTGCCCTAGCCAACAGCACCCACATCCCTTTAATGAATAAAAGAAAGTGATAACCAATTACCATACACTAAATTCCCAATGATAGTATTGTGAGAATGATGTTACCTGAGGAACAAATATTGACCAGGACAGCAGGCAGCCAGCACCAAGTTTGAATTTTCCTGCCACCTCCCAAGATCCCAGTTTTGATGGTAAGTGATGAATTTAACAAGCACTTGGGGAATGAGCACAATTCAGCAAGGCCCTAAAAGGGTCCTTTTAAGGGAAGCCTCATGATTGTCTAACCTGATAGTGTCCTCGAAACAACTAACGGGGATCAACAAAGCAAAGTAAATGAATGGTATTTTAATGGATTTTCAGAAAAAAATGATAAAGCTTTACACAATAAATTTATGACAAATATATAGGAACACGTGATGAAAGGTAGCATGGCCACAGGGGATAGAGGCTGTTGTACCGTAACAAGCAAGGGGAAATGTCTTTGAATGAAAGAATGTTGTAAGTAGTATTCATCAAGATCCTGTGTTAGATGAGTTTCTTTACAATATGTATAACTTATCATTGGTTGCACTTTAGAATTGGAGTAACAATTACAAATTTTGCTGACAGCATCACATTGTGATATAGATTGGAAAAGCCAGTGGAAGGATACAGATAGATCAGCCGGATAGACAGATAACAAGGTGTAGAGCTGGATGAATACAGCAGACCAAGCAGCATCAGAGGAGCAGGAAAGCTGACGTTTCGGGCCTAGACCCACAGATAGTTGGCATTTGCAATTTCTAAAGAAATGGGAATGAAGACAGTATAGCTCATTTTATAGTGATGTTATTGGAACTGTAATCAAAAGACCTGAACTAATGACAACATCAGATCAAAATCCAACCAAGCATTCTTCAGTAATTGTGGAACAAAACTGTAAAGTTAGCTTTTAAGCTCCATTACCAACACATTTGAAGGTTGATCAGCATGTAAAATCCAGCTGGTGGCCTTTCCACAATCTGCTCACCTGCTCTTGACCTGTCTGAAATTTTATGGAGCATGTGGAAGTGTTAAGTTGGCCTGCCCAGTCTTGGACCTATTGAGTTCCTTGACTGGTCAATTAATAGTTAGTTAAGGGCCTTACATCATCTTTATCTGTATTTTAGCCGCTGCAGGGCAGACGAATGCAATAAAGGAAACCAAGCAGATGTAGTTGCCTAGGATGGAGTTGGGAAAGTTGGCGTTTGACAGGCTTGCTGTCTAATCATTCAAGACTGATTGGAGGTACCTCTCAAAGCATCTATGGCCATCATCCCCTTTAATGCTCTGTCCAACATCTGGAACCAGTTTTCCAACATCTCTCTGTTGCACTGGTGTAAGTTTTAGTTATTTTTTGTTGTAGACCAAGGCAGAAAGATGAAAAGGTAAACAGATTCACCAGCAGATCTCTGCTAGATTATGAAGGTGGTATGAGCCCAGCTTAACATAATACTGGACAAGTCAGACCTCAGAATGAAATTTGGTTTGATAGATCATATATTTAAATTTTGCAGTTGGTTAATTCAATAGTTCATAGAATCCCTACAGTGTGGAAACAGGCCCTTTGGCCCAACAAGTCCACACCAACCCTCAGAACATCCCACCCAGACCTATCCCCCTATAACCCACCTACTCTACACATCCCTGAACACTACAGGCAATTTAGCATGGTCAATCAACCTAGCCTGCACATCTTTGGACTGTGGGAGGAAACCAGAGCACTTGGAAGAAACATAGACACAGGGAGAACGTGCAAACTCCACACAGACTTTTGCCCGAGGGTGGAATTGAACCCAGGTCCCTGGCACTTACAAGGCAGTAATGCTAACCACCGAGCTACCGTGCCACCCAGTTTGTCAATGAAACAAATTTACTCAAGGTTGCAAATGTTCTTGAACAACAGAACATAAGTGTGGCAATATGAGGAATAAGCAAACTAAGCATAAATAAAGAATTGACAAATAAATATTTATAGAAAAGACAGGAAAATCTTAACATAAACATAAAACAACTTAGATTTCAACTTATTTCTCAATGTTATCCTTTTACAGATACTTAGTTGCAGAGAAATATTATTCCTATCCCAGCTTTTTAAATCTTTGCTGAAATCACTTGTCCAAATTTCTTCCTCTTCGAAATATAATAAAACATAGAACTGTAGACGCTGCAAATCTGAAACAAAAACAGAAAATGCTGGAGAAGCTCAGCAGCTGTTGTAGAATCTGTGGAAAGAAAGCAGAGTTAATATTTGAGTCCAGTGACCTTTCTTAAATGTAGAAACATTCTTTACAATGGTCAGAACAGACCTACTGAGTTTGTCCAGAAATTTCTGTTCTTCTTTTTGTTTCTTTCACTTGGCCCACGAGAACCCTTTTGTGTGGCTTTCTTTCTATGTCTGCTGGCATGAACCTTCTACAAAGTCGCCTAAACATTCACAATTCTAACAAGATAGAGATTTCTGTCCAAACTTTGGAAGCTCCACACCTGTAAACCCCTTATGCTGAAGTGACAGGTTCCCCTGAATAGAAACTGAAACCTCTTCTTTGATGTCAAAATGAAACTAATGCCCTGATCTTTTTTCTGTACCTGCCATAAGCTCAGCAGTAGAAACATTTCCTCCAATAACATATCAGGTGCCTGCAAGGCAGGTGACTGAAGTTGAATTTCATTAGGACAGTGGGGGAGCTGAGATCAAAGAGACTAGAATGAGAGTATGACGGGAAGAAACAAAATGGTAGCTGCACCAAAGCTCAGGGTCAAGTTTGTAGACTGAATGGAGGTGGCATGGTGGCTCAGTCATTAGCAGTGCTGCCTCATAGCACCAGGCACCTGGGTTTGATTCCACCCTCAAGTGACTGTTTGCACATTCTCCCCGTGTCTGCGTGGGTTTCCTCCCACAGTCCAAAAATGTGCAGGCTAGGTGGATTGGTCATGCTAAATTGCCTGTAGTGTCCAGGGATGTTTGGATTACACATGGGTAAATGCAGGGGTGGGGGAATGAGTCAGGATGGGATGCTCTTTGGAGGGGTGGTGCTGATTTGTTGGGCTGAATGGCCTGATTCCACACTGTAGGGGTTCTATGAAGTGGTAACCCAATCCTGCATGTGGTTTCTCAATGTAGATTTGACTGCATCATGAGCAGCTCCCTCTCAGTCTCACACTTCCTTCATTTTAGGTGTCAGATACCAATGCAATATGAGGTTGGCACTGAGCAATGCACGTGGTATCAGGTTGCCAATCCCAGTACAATTCAGCCCATTAGTTCTGCTTCAGTCTTCTTAGATGCTGCCTAATGTATAGATTTTTATCCAATGTTTACTGTTTTTATTACAATTTGAATGTAGTTCTATTATTGTCACATTTATTTTGTCTTAGGAAATCTGTCTCACTCCAAGGGAAAAGGTGCAACAGTCCCTCGAGTTCGAACTCCTCAGCGTTCTATGAACCACGCAAAGGTACACCAGGAGCTTTGAGTACTCTATGTAATTCTGAACTGTGCTTTCTTTCTTTAACACTGATTTGCTGACAATATCTTCCATAACTTCAATTTTCTGTGAAATGTTGAATTAGCTGTAGTGGACCAGATTTGGCAGACTGAGGCCAGAGGTGGTGGTGATGGAAATCATGAAGTTAGCAAACTCAGCAGGAAGGGAACAAACTAGGGAGAGCTTACAGAATCAATCCAAGGTATCAGCTGGCAGCTGCAGAGACCAAACCTGGAGGCCGAGAACCATGCCATAAGGTATTAGTTCTGAAGAGGTTAATGTTCATTTATATTGGTTTCATTCATTCAACTGATATCACACAGTCAGTAGGTAGAGACATAGAACTGTACTCTACCTTTCAGACAGAGCAGATATTTTTGTACCAGCTCCCTAAAGTCCTTGTAATTATGCCTGACCAAATGCAGTTAGACTTATTGTTGCAATTCAGTAAACCTTCTTGTTATTTAAGAGCAGTTACTCTTTTGTATGAGGTTGTGTATTCTCCACAGCTAAGCACTATATAGACCTGAAACAAAGCAAAGATAAAGAAAACAACACTAAGCCAGAGAGAACAAGTTGTAGAGCTGGATGAACACAGCAGGCCAAGCAGCATCAGAGGAGCAGGAAAGCTGACGTTTCAGGCCTAGACCCTTCTTCAGAAATGGGGGAGGGGAAGGGGGTTCTGAAATAAACAGGGAGAGAGGGGGAGGCGGATAGAAGATGGATACAGGAGAAGATAGGTGGAGAGGAGACAGACAGGTCAAAGAGGCAGGGACGGAGCCAGTAAAGGTGAGTGTAGGTGGGGAGTTGGGGGGGGATAGGT